AGATTAAACAAGATGATTAGGGAAAGACAAAAATAAGATAAGAGAATTTTCTATAGAGCTTCTCTTTGCTTCCAAACTAGAAAATTCTTAGTCACTTTGCAACTACAAAACTGTGAATTCAAGTTATTACGAAATAAGGGTTACTTCCTCTATTTATAATAGAAGAATGTCAAAAATTACAAAAGCCCAAAATTAATATTTTTGATCTAGGTCAAAATGTGTCAAGCAACCTGCTTTGACACTTCGACATCTAAACAACTCGACACACACACACACACATTAGGCTAATTCGATTAATCATTGTTTCTGTCGAGCTACACTGCTTCGGCACAAAGAATTATAATCTCAATATTAATGACTATCAATGCTCAAGACACTACCATTAGTGATCCTTGTAAAACCTAAAACTATCATTATAAAAGCATTCTGAATATTTAAATTAGATATTAGTGAATTCACAAGAAACGTAGTTGTGAAACTCTATGTTTAGTTAGAGCGTCATGAAAGTGTATTTACTTTGCCAAAGATTTATGTAATGGATTGCAAGTGCATAAAATTATCATGGTTTCAAGGTTTATGTTCTTAAATAATCATATAACTGAATATTTATTTTATTTAGCTAACCTTTTTTAGTTTTATATCTGAAACAAATGAATGCAAGTCATAGATAATATATTGCATTTGATCTATGAAACGGGGATCCCCAACATTTTCTCTTCTCCATGATATCCAACATTTGTTCTTCACCGACAACGATCACGATGAAGAACACCATTTTTACTTTAATATTTTGTGTAAACAATATAATATTATGTATATTGATCTGTTTTCGCGCGCGGATCAAAACGAGTATTTTTGTAAAAACGTAATACAACGACAATTAAACTCGGATATCGTCTCAAGGATTCTTGTTTGTGATTAATCTACCAAAATCGAAATAGGGGGGTTGGTTTGGTTTCTGATTCAGAAAAAAAAGTGATTATTAAAATAAGCTGTTGTGAAAAAGTGATTATGAAATAAGTCAATCTACCGATTCGGTTCCTACTATCATCGGTTACTATAATATTAATATTCTACGCGTTCATTCCTATTTGGATACAAGCTCAACGGCAAGCGCGATAAGGATTGCAAGATATATGATCCTATTGTCCGAATTAAACAAATGGTAAAAAGCTTCATGAATTAAGCAAACATGATTATTCAGACACAAAAACGAATAAAGCAAACGTAAAAGTGTCTATGTTAGGATCATACAATCAACCAAATTAAATCAATATATTTCATACAATTGAATTAAGCATACAAGAGTACAAAATCATTGAACGGAATTAAACAGATAATAATATTATAATAATCTCAAGTGTTGGAACCTGAATTACAGTAGACCGACTCAGAGTGATTAGTTCTCCATAGAATTCGTAAAAAGCTCCACAATATTTTTTTCGTGAATAGTGAATTTGGTGAACAGTAACACAAGTATTTTTCCCCTAAAAAGAAAACAAATTCGGTTCATAACCCAACTGGGTCGAAAACATAACCCAGACCCAAAACATGACCCAAAACTAAAACAATATCCTAATGCTGCAACTTCAACGAATATTCTGGAAAAATGTGCTCCGAATTTGACTTCGACTCCAACACGAAAGTCGTAGCTCTCTCTTAGCTTTCCGACGATTTTTAGAACGCCTCAAACGGATTTCCGGAACTCCAGTTATGATCGTTTCCGTGCAGACTGTTAAAGCTGAAAAATAAAGTGCAAAAATCAAATTAAACCAAAAATAAAATAAAATATAAAAACAAAATAAAACATAAAAATAATCAAAATAAAGTAAAGAAATGTCTAAGTAAAAATATAGGAGAATGTGCATAAATATGCACTGATCATATATACAATGTAGTTTGTAAATAAATTAATTTATTAATATTTTGTGTAAACAAGGTAATTAGTTTTATTTTAAAAAAATAAATTATCTAACCTCTCGATTTTTAAATAAACCGCGAGCTATGAGGCGCTATTTTTGTAAATAATAAAAATACAAATGTTGGGGTTTAAACTCATGATCATATAACTTTATCTCTCGGTTAACCAAAGTGCTAAGTGATAATTTTTCACGTTACTCTTCGTTACGCCGGTTTGATAGCCAAGATTACATCTTTTCGCGTGCGGCGACGTTACAAGTATTATTTATAATAGTTCATCTCATTATTCAATAATTTAGTTTTGTTGAATTATCTTTATTTATTTATTTATACTTTTCTATTTATTTTTGTTGAATATTGATTTAATTTTTTATAATAATAAATTTGCGGATTAACTAATTGGCTTGCCATAAAACTGAATGGGTTAAGATTATCAACCTTATATCTTTAGTTGTTCCGTCTCGTTCCATTTTAAACCGTTTAATGAAATAGCACGCTAAAATGAGACTCATCGATTAATTTTCCATTCCTATGTAGTTCTTTCACAAGAATAATCTCGTTAAGTTATGAGATTAATCTTAAACTTACAAGCCCTAATCATAATTATTGCTCTTTGTTAGTTAATATGAGACATTTTACACCTTATTTTTGAAAGAAAAAACAACTTCATTTTAATTAAAGACTACATGATTTATAGCACAGTCTATTTTACATATTTTTATTCATTAATATTTCTCTTTTAGTATTTTGTGTGTGTGTGCGCGCATTTCTCAAACTCTAAAATCTTTAATCATTTGAAGAAAAATAATAATCATTAAAAGTTATTAGTCTATACTTCTGACTTTCTAGTTCAAAAACATCTTGTACTTCCACTCTTAATAATAACTCTTTTTAATATAGTAATTTGTCATGACTTTTGTGATATTAATATCAATCTCGAAAGAACTTCCATTAATGGAACCATACTTTTTCCCCTAAAACAATCAAAGCATTATTCAAAAATGAAAATCCTACATTATTTCTAAATCGATCAAAACTTTAATACAATTATAAACAAAATAAAAAATAAATAAATTAAACATTCTTTATAATTGCACTTGTTAATACATGAACCACAATATTCGCGAATGATACCATTTTGATTTGTGAAGATAATGGGAGTAATTTATGGGGGATTAAGGCGATCCTAAGAGGTTTTGAGTTGGTGTTCGGGTTGAGAATTAATTTCGTAAAGAGTTGTTTATTTAGAATCTTTGAGGAGGATTCCTTCCTTCTTGCAGCTTCTCAGTTTTTGGCTTGCAATATGGGTTCTTTTCCTTTTAAATTTCTGGGCATTGGTGTTGGTGGGAATCATAGACACATTACGTTTTGGAAACCGGTGATCGACATTTTTAAAGCAAGACTTTAAACTTGGAAAGACAAGTTAATTTCGATTGGTGGTAGGGTTACGCTAATCAGCTCGGTTTTGACGAATCTTCCGGTTCACTATCTTGCTTTTTATAAAGCTCCGCGTAAATTTGTGAAACAACTGATGGCTATTCAACGTAGATTTCTTTGGGTTGGAAATTCATATTCAAATTCAGTGGCTTGAGTGAGGTGGTCGAAGGTTTGCAATCCTATTGATAAAGGTGGTTTAGTTATCAAAAGTATTCATGTGTTTAATGTTGCATTGTTGTCCAAATGGTTAATGAGGTTTATTCGCGAACTGGATGCTATATAGAAGAAGTTGCTCCAGTTCAGGTACGCCAATATTGTTAAATGTATTCTTTTGAAGTTTGTTTCTCCTACTACTTGTGCAAATTCTTTATGGTTGAAGGACATATGTGTATTGGCTGATTCTTATGATGATGCGGGTTTTTTAGAAAAAATTTCGTGAGAATTGGGCAATGGACATCTTGTTTCTTTCTGGCATGCTAAGTGGGTAGCCAATCTTCCCCTAATAATTGTTTTCCATGCTGCATTTGTTATTTCTGAAGTCAAGTTTAGTGCTGTCAACGATATGGGAAGTTGGACTGAAGGTTGTTGGTAGTGGAATTTGGCAGGTGAGGTGGATTTGCACGATATAAAAGTGTAGGCCAAATTGTCGGACCTGCTGGAAATTCTTGCAGTGGTGACGCCCTTCCCAGATTTGCTCGATCGTTTTGTTTAGCCAGAAACATATCTTCTTCCGTTTTCAGTCAAGTCTTGTTATGATGGCTTATTGAGGGATCGGGGGTTGTGCGAGTTGGACATTAATCTCAAGACTGCATTAGATTTGGTTTGGAATTCTAATATGCCTAAGAAAGTTAAAGTTTTTCGTTAGAGACTTTTCTTGGATAAGCTTGAAACTCTATCAAATCTGGTGACCAAGAGAATAATATCGGATACGCACGATCACTTGGTTTATGTTTTTTTTAACTCTCTTGTATCATCTGTTTATCTCTTTCTTGCTTGCCTGCGTGTTTGTTTATTTTAGAAAGCGGTTTTTGATTGGATTGGTATAAAGGATTTTGTAGCTCCTAATTGTTGTGATCACTTACTTGAATGGTCTGTGAGGATGGTGGGGAGGACTTCGCGTAAATCAGTCGCTACAATTTGGTTTTGTACCTGCTGGTGTTTGTGGAAGGCGCGTAACTAAGTTTTGTTTAACGATGCATTTTGTGTTGTTGAAGACATATTTCATAGTATAGTGCAATATTTGTGGTGGTGGCTTGAAATTTCTTCAAAATGTAGATATACTTGTAATTTTTATGAATGGTTCAAATGCCCCACCGATTTTTTGTAGGTTTGGCTTCTTAGTTTGTTGGTCCTTGATTGTCAAGGCGTGTTGGGTATCTAGTTTGTTGGGTTTAGAATACCCCTGGTATTTTCTTTAATACAATTGCTTATAAAGAAAAATACATGAACTACAATATTTTTATTATCTTCGTTAATACAATTGTAACATTAAGAAGAAAAAAGGCAACAATTTCCTACATTGGTATAGGATAACACAGTTCAAAATAATAAGCATATAGTGATTGAGACTCATTAAGAGTTTCATTAACATAAATTAATAGCACAATATATATTTTAGGTAACACTAGTTAATATATGATCAATCAAGTATCATTGTGGTGAAGAACCTCTTTGATTAATTTATAAAAATTATTGTATGAAGATCCTCCTGAATCAGTAGATTCTGTAGCTTTTTTCTTCCACTCCAAACTCTTTTCTCTCATTTCTTTTCCTTGTTCTCCTTTTATCATTTTAATAACAAGTTCCGTTATCTCATCCCTCTTCACATCATGGTTAATTTCCATCCCTATTTTCCAAGTATTACATAAATACCTGCAATTAGTTTGTTGCTCAGCAAAGAAAGGCCAGCAAATTGTAGGCACACTTGAAGAAATTGCTTCAAGTGTAGAATTCCAACCACAATGAGTTAGAAATCCCCCAATTGAAGGATGATCAAGAACTTGATCTTGAAAACACCAACTAGTTATGTATCCTTTGTCCTTTACTTCATCTAAAAACTCTTGTGGCAATGTTGATGTCTCTTCACCCATTACTACATCTGGTCTCATTATCCATAAAAATGGTAATTTGCTATTTGCTATTCCCCAAGCAAACTCTTTCAAATGATAATTTGTCATAACAGTTATACTCCCATAATTAATATATAGGACTGAACAAGATTCCCATTTATTCAACCATTTTATGCATTCTGAATCATTTTTCCATAAACTTGAACCTTTTACCTTAAAACCATTTTCATACTCTAAAAACTTTCTAGAAAGTAAGTGAATTGGGCCAATATGATATATGTTTGGGTTTTTGGCTCTAAGGGTGTGAAGGGCCTCACCTTCCAATTCTTCAAATGTGTTAATAATGATGGTTGATGATGTCAAACAATTTCGTGCCTCAGAACCCAAAAAATCAAACATAATATCATTAAGATCAGTGACTCTGAGGAAGCTTGGAAGATCTTTTAGTCTAATCTCTTTCATTCCAGAGATCCAATCTAAACTTAAATCCAAAGTTCCATCCGAAATAAAATTTTCATCTAAAAATTTGACAAAAATATGGTATTAAATTTTTTCAATATAAATATGAAATAATTGCTACCCCTAAACTCTTAATTGTAATTTTAAAGTTTTGGATTTCATTCCTTTTTCTTCTAAAAATTTGTCAGAATTAAAGCAGCAAAAAATTAAACTCTTCTATATTTTAAATAATTAGATATATTTAATAATCTTTATTTTTAAAACTTTTAAAGTGTCAATCCTTTTTATGATGCATGGTGCAAATAGCCAACTAGATAGGATGAATAAATAAATAAGAGTTAAAAGTATTTTTAAACCTTACCAGACTTGTATGAGTTAACGCAGGGTTGTTAAACCAAAATTCTTTATAGCTTACGTCAGTAATAAGGAATTTGCATTATAGGAGAGCTGACGTGGCATCCAAATGAACTAAAATTTAGTTCTCATCATCTATATAGTTAACGTTAACTATGTAAAACCTATTATAATATTATTTAATATTAATAAAATATTCTAAATATTTCAACAACATTAAAGTAAGGATATAATATTTAAAAATAGTAACAGTTATATTATTATTTTTTACCTTCTATAAATTCTATAGAAATTTTAATTTTTTTTACACACAGTTTTACTTCTAAATTTTTTTCTTTCAATTTCCAATCTTATTTATTTATCAAATGGATCTCAACCAATCAAATCTTTATTATAATTATATTCTTATGAAAAATGTAATTTTTTTTATGTATTATTGTTGTGAATTTATATGTATTATTTTTAAGATGTAATTTTTGTATTATTTTTATGTATTATAGCTTACTTCTAATTTTTTTTACACACAGTATTATTTTTATGTATTCCTATGAAAAATTTAATATTATTTTTATGTTTTTAAGATAAATTTTATTTAAAAAATTGTATGTATTTTAATTAAAATAATTAAATTAATAGTAATTTGAATAAAAAATATAAAATGTGGGGTCAAATTTTGGTTTCTTATAGACAATCACCATTAAAGTAAAAACTACTCAAATCAACTATAAATTTTTTAAATCCTACAAATCACTTTGGGCCCACAAAAAGTATTTTAGTTTACCCATTTAGTTTACTCCCACTAAAGATGCATACCCTAATACTCCATCAAATATTCCATTCTTTTTGTTTAAAAAAAAAAGTTGATGTGAAAATAAACATATCCCACATCAAAAGAAAAAAAAAAGCTTGTATGATTTTTTTAATGTGTGTTTCATGATTTATGGAAAAATTAATTTTAATTTGCTAAAAATGTTTCGGAGGTTACAAGTGAATTAAAGTTAAAGTGATGTATTTTTAAATAAATTTTTATAAAATTAAATTAAACTGTAAATTTTAATATAAAAACTACGTTTATATTTAAAAATTATAAACCCTAGTTTTAACAAATAGAATAAATTTTAAAAACCATAATCAATTTTACTTGAAATCAGCCAAAAATTTTAAAATCAATCCTACACATTTAAAATCAATTAGGAATCCTCCAAATATACACTTAATATATGTTTGATTCTGAGAGGTTAAAATTTTTTTTTTAAATTAATTAATTTTACAAAAAATAATATAAATTTAAGTGCGTTTTAATTCAAATATTTATATACCTTTGAATGGAAGAATTCCTCTTTTGACAAGCTCATCGTACTGCAAAAATCCCAGAAAGCCACAAGCAGAAGCTGTCCAAAACTGTAACTCTTGAATGCCTAAATCCTTCGCAGCTCTTCCAGCAAAGCCTGAGATGCCATCAGCAACTATGCAAGTAACTGGATATGGCGATGAAGTGCTGAGCTTCATCACAAGCTCTTTGAATGGACCATAACAGTTTTTCCTAGTCGAATCACACAGCGGCGGAACATCCTGTGTTGCATCCTTATCTGATTCCGGTAAACCATCAGGTATAGTCTCAAACTGAAAATCCGGGAGACCTTTCACAAAGTCTTGTCCAAGAGATTTAATCAAACGTTTGTGGTTGAACTCAGTGTTGACAAAGGTTATGTGGAAACCGTTGCAACGGAAGAGTTTGGCTAGTTGCATCATTGGGTTGACATGGCCCTGTGCTGGAAATGGTACGAATACAGCATGAGGCTTTTGGGGAGTTTCCATTTTAGTTTGATTTTCTTGAGAGTCGTATAGTACTGGTTGGGTGGGATTGATATGTTTGTGAAGAAATAGTATAATTGAGGTGGGTTTGGTACTTTCTCTTATTGTCGTTTATATAGGGATAAGAGATAAAATTATTGATATGTGTTTTCAAATGAATTTATCTTTCTATTATTTCGGAAAGAAAAAAGGAATAGCAAAATTGTGATAAATTAATATATGTGGTCTACATGATAGATCAAATGATTAAGTTCACAAAGTTGTTTTTTTTTTTAATTTTTTTTTTAATTTTAACAAGAACAGGGAGAGTAATAATTAAGTTACAACTTTTCAAAAATAAGTTTTTTTTTTAATTTTAATTGTTTATGATAAGAAGATCACATGAAAGTCATGAAACATTTTTATAAAATTGGTACTCATTAATATTAGGAAAAAGATAAAATTAAAAAATGAAAAAGTAGTAAATATTAAATATTTAAAAATATAATAAAAAACCACTTTAATAATTTATAACTATTGCAACACAATAATAGATTAATAATAAAAGAGATTCAAAAGTTTAGAGAGAAGCTCTCTCTCCTTTCTCTAAATGTTTTATCTATGCATGCATTCAAACACGGACATTCATCTTCTCTTTCACATCATTTTTTTACCATCTCTTTTCAATCATCTAATATTCTAACAACAACAACAATTAAGTCTTGTTTCACTAAAATAAGGTCGATTACATGAATCAACCTTTATTACAATGTTCTATTCAAAATTATGTTTTTATCCAAGTTGTTAAACTCAAGATTTTTCTTAATCATTTCTCTTATAGTCTTTCTAAGTCTTTCTTTTTCTTTAGTTGTTTGACTTCTCTCAATTTGATTTACTCTCGGCATTCCCAAACCACATAGGTCTGTTTTCCACCATCTTCTCTATTATAGATGTTACCCCAACAATCTCAAATATTTTCATTTCTAATCCTATCCTTTTTAGTCTTACCACACATCCAATATAACATTCTCCTCTTTGCTACACTTACTTTATTTTTTTTGTTGATTCTTAAACATCCAACATTTTGTGTCGTACAACATGACAAATCTTACCTCAGTTTGATAAAATTTTCCCTTCAGCTTGAGCGGTACCTTTGTGTTACATAAAACATCCGAAGCCCTCCTCTATTTCAATCACCTAGGTTGAATTTGATGGTTTACATCTCCTACTATTTTTCCATCATTTTTTATTATAGGTCAAAGATATTTAAACTGTGTGACTTGATGGATGATATGGTATCCAACTTTTACCTCTAGATTAGAAATGCATTTTCTTTTGTTGAACTTATATTCCATGTACTCCGTCTTACTTCAACTTAAGCGAAAACCACACAACTAAAGCTCCTCTCCAAGTCTCCAACCTCTCATTTAAATTCTTCTTTGACTCCCCAAGTAGGACTATATCATCTGCAAAAAGCATGCATATCAATGCTACCTCTTGAATATGTTTCGTGAGTATATCCAAAATTAAGCTAAAAAGGTACGGGACATATATATTTTGATTATATTAACTATTTTATCAAATTAAGTATTGTTGTGAATTAGATACCTTAAAACTAAGTATAAACAGTTTCTTAATGATCAAGATACACACAAGGGTTAGGATTAATAAAGAAGAAAACAACAAGGATTGGTTATTAAACTGCTATTCTTTCCTTTCTCTTAGAACAAGATTACAAGTATATAAGAATAACAAAATAACCTCTCTCTCTTGAAATTAGGATTTTATCTTCCTATTTTTCCTTATGACAAGATTGAGAAACTAGTATCCTATTTATAAGAAAAATAGCACGCTAACCTAATGGGATTTTTAACAATTACCCATTACAAGCTAACTTATAGTACAAGCTAACTTAAACAATTGGGCTTACAAGCAAGACCTAATTCAACATGCTAACAACCCTAGCAATATTGACTAATGCATGTTAGAACAAACTTCGACTACAACACGCATTACTCGCGAACAGACTTCGACCATACTAGAGTTCGATCCAACATCCCACAAATCTCCACCTTGGATCTAACTCTATAACATCAAGAAACTAGCTTTCTTCATGCAGTTTTATTAACTGCATACAGTGGAAAAACTTGCAACTGGACAACGTCTTAGTGGTCATATCAGCAGCATTATGATCTGTCGAAACCTTCAGCACTTGGACTTCTCCACGCTCGATTACCCCTCTGATGAAATGCAGCCTTACATCAATGTGTTTGGTTCGCTCATGATAGGCTGAATTCTTCGACAGGTATATTGCACTTTGACTAGCACATTTAACAGTGATAACTCAACCTTGAAGTTTTAACTCCTTTGCAAAACCTTCAAGCCACAATGCTTCCTTCACAGCTTCAGTTAAGGCAATATACTCCACTTCAGTGGTTGATAAGGTAACGACCTTCTGAAGTGTTGCTTTCCAACTGATTGTTGTCCCAAACATAATGAACACATATCCAGAGATAGATTTTCTAGAATCCATATAACCTGCATAATCAGAGTCGACATATCCTTCGATTACTGCATTACTATCTTCACCCAAGGCTCCACCATAAATTAGGACTCTATTCAGAGACCCATTTATGTACCTTAAAATCCACTTCAATGCTTGCAAGTGAGTCTTTCCAGGATTCGCCATGTACCTGCTTACAAGACTTACTGCATATGCTATGTCGGGTCTAGTACAGACCATAACATACATCAAAGAACCTACTATGTTAGCATATGGAATGCTATTCATATAAGTTCTTTCAACATCAGTGTTGGGACACTAATCTATACTTAGCTTGAATTGAGGGTTTGCCGGAGTCACAACAGGCTTTGAATTCGACATACCAAACTTTTCGAGAACCTTCTGCAGGTATGCCTCTTGAGATAAGCATAATTTTGACTGCTTTCTATCTCTCCGGATGTCAATCCCAAGAATCCTGGACGCAGCTCCCAGATCCTTCATTTCGAGCTCTTTATTGAGTTCAGCCTTCACCCTCATTACCTCTTTGACATTGTTGCTTGCTATTAGAATATCATCCACATAGAGCAACAAAATAACAAATGAGTTACCCGTTCAAAATCTGAAGTAAACACAGTGGTCGAACTGACTTCTAATGAAACTTATGTGTGCCATGAACTTGTCGAATCTCCTATTCCACTATCGAGGAGATTGTTTCAGTCCATATAAAGATATATTTAGGTTGCACACATAATCTTCCTTCCCCCTTTCGACATACCCTTCAGGTTACCTAATCAGGATTATTTCACCTAGATCACCATACAAGAACACAGTCTTCACATCCATATGTTCCAGTTCAAGGTCGAACTGGGCCACCATGGCATGCAACATTCAAGTGGATATGTGCTTCACAACAGGAGAGAACACATCATTGAAGTCAATACCTTCTATCTGAGTGAACCCCCTAGCAACCAATCTTGCCTTGTATCTCTTCGACGTCACTCCTTCGATTCCTTCCTTAACTTTGAAAATCCATTTACAGCTAACTAACCTAGCTCTAGTAGGTTTCTTGATTAGTTCCCAGGTGTTGTTATCATGAAGAGATTTCATCTCATCATCCATGGCCTTCAGTCATTCAGTCTTTTTTTGAATCCTCATAACTTTCTTATAGTCTCTAGGTTCTTCGTCTAGAACCTCACTTGCAGAGGTTAAGGCATAAGCTATAAGATATGCATACCCAAGTCTCTGAGGTGACTTGATGACTCTCCTCGACCTGTCTCTTGCTAGAAGGTAGTCATTATCAGTCTCCTCATCTTCGACAACATCTTTTGCATCTTCTTTGACTTCATTTGGGGTACGCAATTCAACATCAACATGCTCCACCTCAACAGGAATCTCTCTCTGTTCCAATTCTTCGTCAGCATCATCAGTTTTCTTGAAAGCCATCCCTGCTTCATTGAAAACTACATATCGACTGGTGTCACACCTCCTGTGACCTGGCTCTAGGCACCATAGCCTATAAGCTTTGCCTCGTTCAGGGTATCCATGAACATGCATTTCAGAGCTCTAGGTTCGACCTTGTCTTGCCTAATATGAGCATAGGCCACACAACCAAATACTCTAAGTCTGTCGAGACTAGGTGGATGTCCCGACCAAACTTCTTCAGATGTCTTCATTCCCAAGGCAGTCGAGGGATATCTATTTATCAGGTAAGCTGTTGTCGAAACAGCTTCCGTCCAAAACACCTTCTTCAATCCAGCACTAACTAACATGCATCTAACCCTTTCAAGGATTGTTCTATTGAATCTCTCAGCTAAGCCATTTTTTTGAGGAGTACCGGCTACACTCTTATGCCTTGCAATTCCAGACTCAACACAGTAACTATTGAACGCTTCGTTGCAGAATTTAAGGTTGTTCTTAACCTCTTAACCTTTCTGCCAGTTTGAGTTTCGACCAGAATCTTCCAACTTTTGAAATTCTCAAAAGTTTCATCCTTCGTCTTTTGAATGAATACCCATAGCTTTCCAGAATAGTCATCAACGATAGATAGAAAATACCTTGCACCTGAGTGTGAAGGATTCCTTGTAGGCCCCCAAAGATCAGCATGAATGTAATCCAGGGATCCATGTGTTTTTTGCTTGCCTTTGTTAAACTTTTCCCTATAGGATTTACCAAATACACAAGATTCATAAAAATCCAACCTTTCGACTTTGTCACCTCCTAGCAGGTTCTGCTTCCCCAATTCGAGCAGGCTTCTTTCGCTAACATGGCCCAATCTCATGTGCCATAATTCTGTCTTCGACATAGGTTTCGTGGATGCAACATTTGTCGAACCACTTATAACCTCAACCTCAAGGGTATACAAGCCTTGTTTCTTCACGCCTCTCAAGACTTCCTTCGACCCCTTCATGACTCTTAGGATACTTTTCTCTCCTTGAAAAACGTATCCTTTTCTGTTGAATTCACCAAGAGAAATCAAATTTCTCTTCAAGTTAGGTACGTACCTGACTTCAGTCAATAACCT